TAGTGTTTTCAGTATCTTTGGTTATGTTCTTAGGAGCAGAATTGCAGGATCATATGGTAGTTCTATTTTTAATTTTTTAATGATTCCTCCATATTATTTCCCATAGTGGCTGCACTAATTTATGTTCTAACAGTCTCTTCTGTTCCTTTGAATTTCTATGGTAATAGCTGTAATGTTTCTTTTTCTATTTGTAATTTTGTTGATTTGTTTAATTTTTTTCTCTTATTTCCTTGGTTGGTCTGGCTAGGATTTGGTCAATTCTATCTTTTCAAAGAAGAACTCTTAGTTGGTTTATCTTTTCTATTGTTTTTCTATTCTCTATTTCTGTGCTGATCTTATTTCCTTTCTTCTGCAAACCTTGGGGTCAATTTGTTCTTCTTTTTCTAATTCCTTACGGCATACAGTTAGGTTGTTTGAGAACTTTCTTACTTCTCATGTAGGCATTTATTGTTATGAACTTCTCTCTTAGAACTGCTTTTGCTGCATCCCATTAAGTTCTGGTGTGTTGTGTTTCCATTTTCATTTGTCTCAATAAACTTTTATTTCTCCTCTAATTTCTTCTTTGACCCACTGGTTGCTCAGGAAAATGTTAATTTCTATGTGTTTGTGAATTTTCCAGTTTTCCTCTTATTACTGATTCCTAGTTTCACACTACTGGTATGAGTTCAGTCTTCTTGAATTTGCTGGCCTGTTTTGTGGCCTAACATATGGTCTGTCCTAGAAAATGTTCTAGGTGCTCTTGAGAAGATTGTGTATTCTGCTGTTGGACAGAATGTTCTGTGTACATCTGCTAGGTCTATTTGTTCTATAGTGTTGTTCAAATCCACTGTTTCCTTATTGATTCTCTGTCTGGATGATCTATCCATTGTTGAGAGTGGGGTATTAAAGTTTCCAACTATTATTGGATTACTGTTTATTTTTCCTTTTAACTCTGTTAGTTTTTGCTTTATGTATTAAAGTGCTCTTTTCTTGGGCACCTAAATATTTACAATTGTGTATCTTCTTGATGTATTGATTTCCTTTATCATCACATAATAACCTTCTTTGACTCTTTTTTATTATTTTTAAAGTTTATTTTGTCTGATATAAGTGTAGCTATACTTGCCTTTTTTTTCTTTTATTTAAGGTTAAAGTGAGTCTTTTTTAAGGCTGATATTGTTGAATTTTTTTATCCGCTCTGCCATTCTTTTGATTGAAGAATATAATCCATTTACATTTATTGTAATTATTTATAGGTAAGGGCTTACTATTGCCATTTTGCTAATTTTTTTCTCATTCTTTTGTAGATCCATTGTTCCTTGTTTCCTATCTTGCTGTCTTTTTTGTGTGTGTTTTTGATTTTTTTTTTGTATCAATATAGTTTGACTTATTTATTGTGTTCTCTTGTGTTATTACTACAAGATTTTCCCTTGTGGTTACCATGAGGCATGCATAATATATCTTAACTTATAACACTATTTTAAACCTATATTAAACCTATTAATAACTTAAATAGAATTTTTATACTTTACATTTTTATTTCGGCCCCTCACATTTTAATGTTTATTTATTTTTGAGAGAGACAGCACGAGCAAGGGAGGGGCAGAGAGAGAGGGAGACACAGAATCTGAAGCAGGCTCCAGGCTTCAAGCGGCCAGCACAGAGCCCAATGCAGGGCTCGAACTCACCAGCCGTGAGATCATAACCTGAGCCAAAGTGAGATGCTTAACCAACTGAGCCTCCTAGGCTCCCCTCTGCCTCTCACATTTTAGATTATTGTTGTTACAATTTATGGTTTTTTAATATGGTGCAAATAACAACAGGTTATTGTATTTATGGTTATTTTTGCTACATTCTTAAAAAATATTTTTAAACTAGAGTTGTGAATGGTGTATCACTATTACCATATTGCATAATCCAATTGTGACTATATATTTGCCATTGTCAGTGAGATTCATGCTACCTTTTTGTGTTTTTATTTTTGTGTTAATTATAAGGGGAGTTAAAGAACTCCCTTTAGCATTTCTTGCAAGATAGGTCTGGTTGTAATGAACCCCCCTCAGCTTTTGTTTGTTCAGGACAATCTTTATCCCTCCTTCATTTTTGAAGGACAGCTTTTCTGGGTATAGAATTTTTGTTGACAGTTATTTTCTTTTAGTATTTTGTATGTCACCCCATTTTCTCCTGGCCTGAAGAGTTTCTGTTGAGAAATTTACCAATAGTCATATGGGGGGTTCCTTGTATGTAAGTTCTCTTTTCTCCTGGTGCTATTAAATGTTGTTGTTGTTTGCCTTTTATTTTTGGCAATACAATTATAATGTCTCTTAGAGTAGCCCTATACCCTTAGGTTCAACCTATTTGGGATCCTTTGGGCCTCATGGATCTAGATATCCATTTATCTCCCCAAGTTCAGTAAGTTTTCAACCATTTTTGCTCTAAGTAGACTCTCTGTCCCTTTCTCCTTTTATTCCTTTGGAATTCTTATGATGCAAATATTGTTGGTTTTCATTATCCTTTAATTTCCATAGGGTTTTCTTTGCCGTTTTAATTTCTTTTTTCTCCTTTGACTGGGTAATTTCCAATGCCCTATCCTTCAGGTTGCTGATTTGTTTCTCTGCATGTTTAGGTCTACTTTTGAAACTCTCTATTGAATTCTTCAGTTCAGTTATTGTATCTTTTAACTGCAGGATTTCTGTTTTTGTTTTTATTTTTTGCTGGTTGCTATTTCTTTGTCAAACTCTTTTTGTTCCGGCATTGTTTTCCTAATTTTGTTTAGTTGTCTGTCTCTGCTTTCACGCCATTCACTAAACTTCCTTAGGAGTATTATTCTGAATTTTTTGTCTGATAGTTTATAGATTTCCATTTCATTAGGGTCAGTCACTGGGGCTTAATTTGTTTCCTTTGGTGGTGACGTATTTACCTGATTTTTCATGAGCCTTAATTTCTTGCATAGGTATCTGAGCATTTGAGTAATTAAAAAAATTTTTTTAATGTTTACTTATTTTTGAGAGAGAGAGAGAGAGAGAGAGTTGGAGAGGGGCAGAGAGAAAGGGAGACACAGAATCTGAAGCAGGTTCTAGGCGCTTTGCTATCAGCACAGAGCCTGACATGAGGCTTGAGCCCGCAAACTGTGAGACCATGACTTGAGCTGAAGTCAGACACTTAGCTGACTGAGCCACCCAGGCAGCTCTGAGCATTTGAGTAATTAACCTCCTTTTCCAGACTTTACAGGTTTGTTTTGGCAGAGATAGCTCTTCAGTAGTCAGCTCATTTTAGGTGGGTGTGTCTGTTGGAATGCCTTTGGGCAGGTGGGACCTGCTATTATGGACTTCTTTGGGCAAGGCATCTATTCAGACACTGAAGAGAGGGATGGAGTGTGTTTACCACTGGCTGAAAATACTTGGATATGATTGCTGGCTTGGTTCCCTATCCATATGAAGCTATAGGATGGGGTCCTCAGTTGTCTTATTCTCTGCTCAGACTTACTAGATGTTTGGGACTGGGTCTATATTCAGTAGTAGATGGAGCTATCTTACCTGCTTCTCTGCTCTGGCAGGGCAGCAGCCAGGGCTCAGGACCCATACAAATCATTGTTTGGGGCACAAATCAGGCCTGAGTGTCCACTGAATTCCCTTGTCAGGTGATGCTGTGCAGATGGAGGAAGCCAAGGGCTGCACTCTCTTCGAGTCCCACGGTATGTAGGGCTGTTAGATGGGCTATGCAGCTTCCTGTGCGCTCTGGTTAAGTTCCCTGCTCAGATAGGCTGCAGGCTGTCTTCAGCAATAAGCAAGGCTATGAATTAGATTCCCTGCCTGGATGCAAGAAGAGGAGCAGCTCTAAAACCAGTAAAGCTCTTTGTTGCCTTAACTCAAGCAGACCCACACCACAAGTTCCCTGGCCAAATGAGGCCATTGGCTCTGCAAACTATCACCTCTGTCTGCTCTTCTTTCAGCTCAAGTGTCACTCGGTCACGCAGCTTCCAGGAATTGTCTCTAGCCCTTCTGGTCAGATGGGGCTGAAGGCAATCTCCACAGTTGGTGGGGCTGTGACTCAGTACCCTTCCTGGGTGTGAGAAAACTGGGCTGTAGGGCTGGCGAACTTCTTGTTTGAGGATGTGAATAAGGCAGATCTGCACCCCTCTGGGTTCCCTGATCAGAGTGTGTCCCAACTTGGCTCTACAGATGAGCAAAGCCCCTGGCTGAGATTACTATTTGGGCACCGCCAGTATGAACTTGGTCTGCCAACATCCATGGGCTGTTTGTTGCAAGCTCCTCCTCATTCTCTGTCACAGTTATATTTACAGTGGCTGAGCCCTGCAATTCCAGTGGTATGAGATCAGAGTAGGGGTTGCCACAGAGTGATCCACCATCCTGGGGCGGGGAAAGGGCAGTTAGTTGTCCTCCTCTGGGTTCTCTTTTCCACTGGAGGAACTGGAGGCTCAGGAGACATCTCTTCCCGTGGTGCTGCACTGTCCTGAGGGAGGGGCAATGCAGTCAACATGTAGTCACTTCTCTTACCCCTCTACTATAGTCTGTCTTGGTCTCTGAAGTTCAGGGGGGTGCTTCAGCCTCACTCCTGTGTTCTAGGATTCTCTCAGTGGTGTCTTGTTTTGGATAGTTGTTACTTGTTCTTCTTGTGAGGGGGGGCAAATTCAGCAATGATGTAGGTCACCATCTTGGTGACATCACTCTCCCCCAATATTTTGTCAATGTAAATTTTAAAAACATGAAAGGACCCACATAAAAATATAAATGCTAAGGTTACTTGCAGCAAAATATGGCACATTAGAATTATTTAGTAAAAACTTTTATAGTTGAAGGTAGGCACTTCGTAACATTTGGATTTTGGCAAAAGGCAACCATTTGGTGTCACTATCATAACCTTTCTATTAACTGTATAACTTTTTCAAGGGAGTAGGTTTTTAAAGTATTGCAAAAGAAAAGGGAAACAAATTTGACTAAGCTACATATGAATGGAATTCCACAGAACAGAATCCAAATTCTATTTTCCTCTCTTCTTTCTGTAAATTGTTGTATATCTTTTTTGTCAAGTTCTACGAGTCTACTCCTTGATGTAAAATCCCATGGGAATATTTGGCTTCTAATCTCTTAATCTGAAGAGAAGTATTTGTTGCTTGTGGAACTCAATACGGGCCCCCCCCCCGCGGGGGGGGAACGTTTGTCATAATAAAACACTACTTAAAGTCACATGATTTTTAGATAGCAGTAGCTAGCACTTGGCTTTAAGCAGCTGTTGAGTCCCTTTGATCTTGTTTTAGCTGTCAAACTAAATAGAGAAGATTCAACTCTTCCAGTTGTTTTAATTCTTGGAGGCATAGAGACTTACTTCACACTTACCTAAAACATGAACAGAATGTTTGGGGCCCAGTGGATCCATCTACCATTTGATTTAGCTGTCCTTTCTAGAGCATGTCTCTATCAGATAGACAGATTCTGTTTGAAGTCTTGGTAATAGAGAACTTCAAAAAACAATCTAGTGAATAAGGAAGCTCCAACTCCTCTTTCTTATACTGAAACCAAAGTTCCTTGTTCTCATCCAGAAACCAAAGTTCCTGTAGCTTCCATCCAGTGCTTCACAAACAGTGGAAGACACAGAGTGAGCTCTTAGGCACTTGAATAGTATTTATTGATGAAGGAAAGAATGAATAATTCTTGTTCCAACTTTTAAAGCAACGCAGAATATAGTTGTCTCCTTAGGTAGTCCAGGCTGTCCTCCTGTCTTTCCTAATTCTTCTCTTTTCCAGGATCAGTATTGCAATTTCCTTAAGCAACATGATTTTCAGATGTTTTGTCTGTCTTGTTACTCTTCTCTGAATGTGCTTACATTGACCGGTACATCTCTTCAAATATGATACCATCAAATCGAACAGTACGTCAGATGGGGTCAGCTCAGAGAAGGATAAAAACTCAGTGTTTCTTAGCCTGGACATTCCACTCGACATATTGTTTCACCCAAAAATGTATTCCTTAGAGCAAGCCTTTTATTCCAAGCAAGATCTCTGATTGGCACATATTCTGTTCTGGGAAAAGGACTGTTTTCTTGAATTTCCAGGATAAGGAGGGGGTGGAGAACGCTGCGCGGAAGCCTGTGGGGTCGGAGAGTAGGGAGGCGGCAAGTCGGCACAGTATTCCATCTCATGGTCATAACTATAGGGTGGTGGTGCCACTGAAAAAGAAAAGGTAAAGGGCGTCAGACATTTAGCAAATACTTAAGTGTCTACTATGTTTCAGCCACTGGACTGAGCACTTTGGGAGGTGACATAATTTTTGTCTGAAAAAAATCTTAGTTTTATTTGGTTGAAGATGCATGTATATGAAAGGGTAGGTGCTATAAAAAATGGCGCCATTGGCCAAAATGTTTAGAATTGGCTGCTTAGGGAAGTTTCTTGGAAATATGTGAAAGGGCAGATAAATTAAAGACTAGGGGCTAAATCAAGACTGAGCAAAAGCACAGAAGCAGAAGAACACTTTTGTTGAAAGCAAAAAGTACGTAGAGGGTGGAAATGGGAAAAAGTGTTGAGGAATCTGATTGTAGCATCATCATGGAGGGCTCTGAATATCACATAAGGAGTGTGTGATGTGCATTTACCAGATATATATATAGATATAGATATAGATAGATAGATAGATATAGATATATAGATAGATAAATATAGATAGATAGATATTTAAAATTTTTTTTACATTTATTTATTTTTGAGAGACAGAGAGAGACAGAGCACAAGTGGGGGAGGGGCAGAGAGAGGGAGGGAGACACAGAATCCGAAGCAGGCTCCAGGCTCTGAGCTGTCAGCATAGAACCTGACGTGGGGCTCGAACTCACAAACCGTGAGATCATGAACTGAGCCGAAGTTGGACGCTCAACTGATGGAGCCACCCAGGCACAACAGATATATATATTAATATGCTGGTAAATATGCTTTGGGAAGGTGATTGTCTCAGCCGTATGGATTGAAGTGGGCAGAAGGAAAGGAGAAATGATGTAATAGCATATGTGAAAGAGTGTAAGGGAGTCATGGCATTGAGTGAAAAAATCAGAAGAGATCTTGAGCAGCTGAGTGCTTACTTGATGACTGGGTAGGTGAAGAAAAAGATGGAGAGTGAAAGAAGGTGTCCAGGTATTGGGCACCCTTTATTGAGCTCCTGCAACTCAGAAGGTCATGGAACCATTATAGGAATAAGAAAAAAAGTGAGGGTTTTTCTCCCTTTAGGCAAGCACGTTTGTGAATAGGAATGAAAAATTTTCTTAATTTTTTATTGTTAATATATGTCAGTGTGTTTTAAATCATATTTAATACACTTTATCACGACTCTGTATGGATGTCTATTTTGTAGTGTGCCAATCCCGTGTCGAGGGTTGGAAGAGAAGCACCCTTTATGTACTCTATGTCTTCAAGAACCAATCATTCTGCAACATCTGAGCAACCCCTCTGATGATTTGGCAGTAGTTGAATTATCATCACGATCATGATTCTAATTGGAAATTGACGTGCCTTAATTGCTTACTATGAATGTAGCCTAAATCACAGGACTACTGTCATAATGATGCAAAAAATGGCCAAGCCCTTTAAACGTTACAATGGAAGAAAAGAACAAGCAACATTTCAATAAACTTATTTCTAAAATATCTTCCAGGGTCACCTGGCTGGCTCAGTTGGTGGAGCATGTGACTTTTGATCTTCAGGTGGTGGATTCGAGCACCATGTTGGGTGCAGAGATTACTTAGAAATAAAATCTTTAAAAAAAGTCTTCTAAATTGTGCTCTTACCAATAAGATTACGATAGTGTTCTGATTAATATGCGTGCACAAACATAGGGCTTCACCCTGTATGCAACACGAACAATGTTTCTTCTAGATCCCTTTAACTTGGCTTGCTTTACCAAGAGCTTGATGACTTGAACCACTTACTGATCTGCCTGTACTCAGGGATGTGAGGACACAGGATTGAGTCACCTGAGGAAAGAGGAAAATGGAGACACAGAACTGGGCAGGATGTCCTCTGAGGACTGCTCTACTGAGCAAAGGCTTTGCCAGTGTCTAGTGGGCTCTACAGGCCAAGGCCTCATGGCAGAGGACGCAGCTGTATACAGCTTCTCTAAGCCTGCTTTAATTAAACATTTGGAGTCCGGGCTATCACAAGCTTTGTTTTCTATAACAAAATGGAACAACTCCTGTGGACTCAAAGCACACACTCCCGCTGTATTACACCCACTCCTTTGCTTCATTATATCTAGGAAGAATGAGACAAAGAGATTTATAATATACTTCGTCCAAGCCAAGAAATGCAGGCTCCATGTAAAACAGGAAGTTACAGCTGGATACCCATTGAACCGTTTCTTATAAGCATGTGGTTCTAAGCTGTTTTTATACGGAAGGTTTCCCTGCCTCCCACTTGAGGAGCACACGTAGAATGATTCTACAGATTGACTCTGCATCATTCTCTGTCATGAAGCCGTGACAGTGTCTATTTATGTAACAAAGTGTTTATGTTTTGCCATCTGCATTAAAACGGCTAGAGGACATTTCAGTGAGATTCCCTATGGTTTATACAGCTGCATGTTGAACATGAAAATTTAAGATATGATTAGAGCAATATAGCTTTCTACTCATACAGCCTTTGAATTTTGCTAAAGTGATAACATAATGCAGAAGAGCAATATTTTGAGGACTATCCATCATGAAATAAACATGGCACATCTTTTATAGCACCAGCTACTGGAAAATATTTTGAAATAAGACTTGTATAACTGTGGACTGTGATAATCTTTCCTTCTTGCGATAATAAGGTTTCACTAGGAAGTAAACTTTTTAAGGTATCAATTCTCGAAAATTCCTGACTAACTCTAAGAGGCTTTGTTCTTAAAGGTCAAATCATCTTTCAAAGATGTATGGATGCAGCTGGAGGGATGGTGCCTTTGAAATTCTTTCATAATCAATATTCCAATTCTATGATTTAAGTAGGGAAAATATGCCATTTATCCTTTTTTAAAATTTAAATTTATCTATTTTATTTTGAGAGAAAGAGAAACCATGGGGAGAAGCAGGGGAGGGGCAGAGAGAGAGAAGAGAGTGAGAGATCCAAGCAGGCTCCACATTGCCAACATGGAGCCCGATGCAGTGCTGGACTCACTGATCACGAGATCATGACCTCAGTTAAAGTCAGATGCTTAACCAACTGAGCCACCCAGGTGCACCTATGCTGTTTATCCTTAATGTCATTATAGTTTTCTACAATATTATAAAATTTACAGACATTATGTAATTCATAGAAGAAACATAATGCTTTTCATCCACTCAGGCCAACATCTCTAAAGCAAACGTAAAGGGGAAGATACACAGTGTTACCAAAACATATACAACATTATTTAAAAAAATTTGGAAGCAGGAAAATCATCCATAATTTTGTCGCCACGATTTAACAACTATCTTTATATAATCTCTTCTAGTCATTTATGGTTTTTATATCCTTGTAGTCATGTAAAATGGGTATATGCTTTTTTTACTTTGTATTATAACATGGTCTTTTTCATTCTACTACATATTCTTCATAAACTTTATTGTTAATGTCTGCATATTATTCTGACTCTTCAGTTATTTTGAAATTAACAATTTTTTATTATTATAAATAATGGAGTGATGACTTTCTTTCTACACATAGGTTTTTTTGGTATTATTATTTTGATTTAGTTTGTTAAAATAAAATTCCAAGAATCAACTAACTGGCTATCACTTAACACTTTGGTAATTTAATGGTAAAAACGACAGCTCTTTATTTTACATTTCTTTGGTAGTAGCTAGATTTCACATTGTTCTACAACTTGTTTGCTGTTTGTAGTTTATATTGGGTGATTTTTAGTTTGTTTTAGGTTGGTAATTTAAAAAGTGGGATCTTAATTCGAATCAAGATATATTTAGCATAATATGATATGAACAAATATACAGAAGTGTGTATCTTTTCTAGGTATTTTTCTAAAAATAACTGTCAAAATGATTACTTATATTTTTTTACTTGACATACCACAGTTGAAAACTTGTACTTAAAATATATGCTTCATCTTTTTTTATCTCTTCTGTGTTGTTTCTAAACTTAGACATTTATCTCCTCTTTCAGATATCTGATACGTAACCAAACTATTTCTGAGGTTTTCCATTTAAATTTATGTATTATTTTATTTGGTGTATATTTGCATCAAAGTTTATTTTTTCTAAATTTAAAATTTTTGGCTAAGCCAAATTATCTACGTGCCTTCTTTTTTTTTTTAATTTTTTTAATGTTTATTTATTTATTTTGAGACAGAGAGAGACAGAGCATGAACGGGGGAGGGGCAGAGAGAGAGGGAGACACAGAATCGGAAACAGGCTCCAGGCTCTGGGCCATCAGCCCAGAGCCTGACGCGGGGCTCGAACTCCCGGACTGCGAGATCGTGACCTGAGCTGAAGTCGGCCGCTTAACTGACTGAGCCACCCAGGTGCCCCTCTACGTGCCTTCTTAATCCTCATTTTTCACATTGCTTTGTTGTCTCTCCTTTTGTTTGTGAAATTTTAATCTATTTGTTCTATTCCAATGAACAAGGCATATATTTTTGTACTAATATCCCATTTAGTTATTATGGATTTTAAATGGTTTTAATATCTGGTAGGCCAGGTGAATCTCTTGACTTTTTTTTAACATGTTTCAAAAAAGATTTTCTTACTAGATAAATTGACATATAGCATCATGTAAGTTTGAGATGTACAAAATGTTGATTTGACATGTTTATATATTGCAATATGATTACCACCTGTAATATTAATTAAACAAGGAGCCCATTACACTGAGGTGACTCCACTGTCACGGTAAGCAAACCAAGATGTAAGCCTGTAAATGCTTCAAAGTTACAAAATCAAAACACTAAGGCAACCAATCACAAAGAGCCAACTAGGATTTAAGCTGTAGCCGAGCATTTCTTCACTTCCACACTTTCTCTATATAAGGCAGGGTACTCCTAACAACTTCTGGTTGGTGCTGTCTGATTCAAATCAATTTTTGCTCAGATAAACTCTTAAACATTTTAATATGCCTCAATTTATCTTTTAATATACTTTAGCGTTCGCTCACAACTTATTTTTAATTTTTTAAAAATGCTTATTTATTTTTGAGAGAGAGAGAGAGAGAGAGAGAGAGA